GGATTCAATACAAGGTTGTTTTTATTGATCTCAGATTCTCTGTTTGTCAGTGTCAAAGTTCAATCATTTGTGCGGTATTAAAAAAGATTCTGCCAAAGTCTCCAGTCATGTAAAATGACGTAGAATTGCATGAAATTCGTTTATAAAAGGACAACAATTTCCCGAACCCTAGGCTACTAAAAATATTCCCCATGTGTGCAACTTCTGTAAGTGCCTCTACTCCAGGGGCGGCCTGTTCAATAGGGCGATATGGGCGACGCACTGCCAAACGGGAAAAGGAAGGGATTTTTTTTCTAATCAATTATATCACGGCAACAGTAGTTATCAGTGTTGTAATCTATACGTCTGATCTGCCACAGTGCCACACTGCCACTAAATGTCGAATCAGGCTAAAGTCGTGCTTCAAATGGCTCCCCCCCCTTTTGGGGCGATTTCAGTCAGGTTGAAAATCGCCCAGAAGTCTGTCATAGACTCCCATGTAAAATCTATTTTTTTCAAATTTCAGAGCTTTCAATACAATCTCTATGGGTGTCTGAGGGCTTGCACTTACGCGCTTTCGTCATACGTAACGTAACCATGAACGTAACTAAGAAAAGAGCGGATTGTGTCTTTGAAAGAAGTTCCTTTTTGTCGGCGAACAAATGAAGATAAATTGGCAACGAAACAATTAGGACCTCCCAGACCAAATTTAATAATTCAACAGGTTTCTACTAAAGGCGGAAAGTCCTACACCCGAGGATTTTCCAAAAATTGGTACGAACGAAAAAAGACATTGCCACTCAACTGGATGAGGGATACAGGCTAGCTGTCCGCCGCCACAACGATGAGGTTAGTGTTGATAATCACAAGTTTACTGGAGAACTGAGACCAAGTAGAGACTTTGGACAGGGTGGATATGGTATAATAAAGGCAGTTTATTCAGAGGTAAAGATATCTGGAATCGCGTGCACGGACCCGTTCGTCAAACTCTTACATTAAGCCCCATTACTTACCATATCAGATAAGAGAAATTGCTGCAGCTACATATATTTTACATCCTGGCCCTACATAGTTCACTATTTGCATCACTTACCAAAATATTACATGTGGTCATATATGCTTGGAAAGTGGAGATGCCATAGAACGTCAAAAAAGTAAACATTGCTGGAGACACATTGCCGTTTTGGAGAAGACATCGCGTTTGCTAGCGAAGAGATTTGTTGTGGCAAATGAACTTGGGCTGGGAATTGCCAGGGACCTCACGATAAGATATATGCATTGCGAGTCTCATGATTCTATACGTATTGCGATTCGATACTGTGATTTTATTGCGCACCATATGTCTGTTGCAGAGGGATCAGAAAGCCATGAGAACGAGTTTTGATCAGTCATGGAAATAAAAGTGCTGAAAACAAATTGGCTCCCAATGTGAAAAGATTGAGAACAAGCTATGAAGGAACAATAATGGTGTTTTGGTGCAGGTACAGCCAACTAGCGCTAAAATATTGCGATATTGTCAATACAGTATATCGTAAAGTATCACTATGTAACTCGATTTCTTTCACCCCAATCCCTCAAATTAACGGTAAATAACTGAATTGTTTGCCCCACATTTAGCTAAGATGATTAGCTAGCCAGCTAAAATGTTTTATTTAGTTAGCAGTCGCATCTACAATAGTTTACTGTCAATAACATGTCTCCAAAAATGACGTGGTGTCTCCAATTGTGTTGACATTTTACAATTGCGATGCGCATCCATGAGTATCCACTTTCTGTAGCTCAGCTGGTAGAGCACTGCGCTTGTAACGCCAAGGTAGTGGGTTCGATCCCCGGGACCACCCATACACAAAAATGTATGCACGCATGACTGTAAGTCGCTTTGGATAAAAGCGTCTGCTAAATGGCATATTATTATTATTATTATTATTATTATTATTATCTGAAGAGAGCCCCGAAACATTGTGTGCAGACATTTTATGCAATAAATGAAGTAGGTTGAATCTAGTAGTTCTGATCTTCTGATTGGTCCTGATGAGTTGGGCGAGGTCCCCTCCAGGCTACTGTCACTGTTGCATTGGCTCTGAGTCGGGTTCTCTGTCTTCAAATTTTCAGCCTAAGAGAGGGGATTTTTGTGTGTGTGTGTGTGTGTGTGTGTGTGTTTAACAGTGATGATGTGTGTGTGTGTGTGTGTGTGTGTGTGTGTGTGTTTAACAGTGATGATGTGTGTGTGTGTGTGTTTGTGTGTGTGTGTGTGTCCTCAGAGCAAGAACTCGTGAGTTGGAAGAACTGAGAGGCCTATGGCGTGGGTGTTGTCCTTGGCCACCTGCTGACAAGGCTGACAAGATAGGACCCTTTTGTCCATTGTTATTGGATAGGAACAGAACTTATAACCAGCTCCTGACCTAAATAGATCTTAGCACAACATTTTACTCAACATATCATATTCCATATTCACTATAACAAATATATTTACTACGACATTAGCAAGAACCGCCACATCCTCAGCCGGCTAATCCAGTGTGTGAAGTTTTGCGCAGTGTTTGAGTTAGCTTTGCGAGGCAAAGATGAAACTGAGGGCTCCACCAACCCTGGTAAGCCAACACTTTTGAGATCAGTCAATAAATGCTTCTGGTATTGACTTATATGCTGCCCCTGTCTTCATGTTGTTGCTGGACATATCTTTTTTAAAATGTGTGTAGGTCACCTAAATCATCAGAAAAATTGCCCCCCCTGAGAATTTTTTCAGGAGCCGCCACTGCTCTACTCTACTGCTCTATGCCACTACGCAAATGCGATGATATGCATGCAATGCTTTACTATAAAGGTGATTTTCTTTCACATGCATTTCGGTACCTCGGAACTCCCCAGGTCACCCCCCTCTAGCGCTCACTTTTTGTGATTTTTTGTGTGACTTTTTGTAATATATACACTGCTTAATTTGTAATTCGGGAGGTGCCGGAACAAAAAGTGAGCTCTAGAGGGGGGTGACCTGGTGGTGTTGATTTAAAAAATATGATAGAGAGAGTTCTCTTTGAGATACTCATCTATTTAGAATTCTACCCATTCCCATCTTTCAATGAGAAACTGATTTTAATTAGATGAAATAGGTATGTTGTATTGTAACTGTTGCCAAATAATACTAATTGTATAAATGAACTTCCAGAATGTAATCAAGTACTTCAAATATGTCAGTTGAAAACACTGGATGTTAAAAGCACTGGGTGTCTGAGTACACCTGACCTTGCCAACAGACAAAAAGAGAGCTGTGAATGGATCAGTGGTTCACCAATCAGGGCCTTGATGGGCTTGGCAACAGTAACAAGGTGTGACTTGTAAATAACAATTTTCTTTGGGAGAATGTTTTTTTGGTATACAGAAATGTTCTTGCAACGTTCCCATGAAACATGTCTAGAACATTAATATCTTACATTCGGAGAACATGGAAACCATGTTGTGTGCATGTTTGGTGGGACATTGATGGAATATTCTCCTAACCTTCAGAAAACTGGACATATGAAAGTTCTTGAAATGTCCAATAAAACGCGTCTAGGACATTAATGTTGTTTATTCTGAGAACATTGTAACCACATTCCAGATAAGTTCTGTTTGACATTAAGGCATTGTTCTCCTAACTTCAACACCAAATCATGCAAAAAAAAAGTTAGCAGAAGGTTTTTGCTAACATAGTAGAATATTCCCCTAACTAACGGAAAACTAGACACTCAAACATTAGGGTAACATTACAGGTAACATTACAAAAACATTCTCTCTCTCTAGAATTGTTAGCTGGGTATGTTGTTGGGTCTACAGTCAGAAGAATCAGATGAATCCTGTCTGTGTGTTGCTGAGCATCTATGGGAAATGGGTCAGGTTTGTGTGTGTGTGTGTGTGACTGTGTGTGTGACTGTGCGTGTGGTGCAGGTGTTGTGCCTGAGGGCTTCCTTCCTTTCTATATCAGGTCCCAGGAGGAGCACCGGAGAAAACTGGTACCCACTGGATCTCTCTCTCTCTCTCTCTCTCTCTCTCTCTCTCTCTCTCTCTCTCTCTCTCTCTCTCTCTCTCTCTCTCTCTCTCTCTCTCTCTCTCTCTCTCTTTCTCTCTCTCTTTCTCTCTCTCGAACACACACACACAGCATCAGGACATTGAGAATTGGATATAATTATATATCATAAAGACATGTCCGGGTGTTACACAGGTTTTATTGGCAGTGGTGAGGTGACGTGTGATTGATTGAGACAGTAACGGGGAACATTGTGATTGGTTGAGACAGTAATGAGGTGGTGTGTTCTTTTTTTATTTTTATTGTTCTGGTGACAGCAGAGTTGATAGATTAGCTCCAAAAGGAGCATAGATCCTCAGAGGATGTGGACGATGTGGCAAGGGCGTGGGGCGTGGGGCGTGGGGAGTGGGGCGTGGGGCATGTAAACACAGTGACAGTCCTGAACTGTGGCCAAGCGAAGCGCTATTTCACAATGTAAACAAAACAGACCACCCAGCTGAACTTCACACACACACGCGCACACACACTGTACGCTCGCACCCGCGCACACACACAATACAAGCAAATAAACACCACACACAGTTTCTGCTTGTCTGTGAGTAAATATCCTAAAGCCTGCAAGTCAGAAGACATACATAGTGTCTGTGTGAAGGGGGGGAGGGGGGTCATGATTAGTACCCCCGATGCCTTTAACCCTCTACACATAGTGAGCTATGTCTAACGGAATGAAATAATCTCTCTCTGTCTCCCTCTTTCTTTGTCTATTTCCACCTCTCTACACCGCCCCTCTCTCTTTCCACCCTCCTGTCTCTCTCCCTATCTCACATTGTTTCTCCTCTACTCCAATATTCCAAATGGTACAGACAATATGGAGAGGGGATGAGGAGAGGAGATCAGGGGATGAGGAGAGGAGATGAGGAGATGAGGAGAGGAAGAGAGGAGATGAGGAGATGAGGAGAGGAGGCAGTAAAGACCGTTGAGACACATCCATTGACTGTTTTTCTACTTCTTCTCTGTCCAGGAAGTCAGCGGGAGAAATCCCACGTGTCACTTCCTCTGGGAGCTGCAGAGGGCGGAGCTAGAATGTCACAATCAGCTGGAGAAGCAATCACTAGAGACTCCCGGTAGACACGCACACATGCACACACCTACACACAAACACACACACACACACACACACACAGTCACACACAAACAAACCTGACCCATTTCCCATAGATGCTCAGCAACACACAGACAGGATTCATCTAATTCTTCTGACTGTAGACAAAACAACATACTCAGCTAACAATTCTAGAGAGAGAGAACGTTTTTGTAATGTTCCCCTAATGTTTGAGTGTCCAGTTTTCTGTTAGTTAGGGGAACATTCTACTATGTTAGCAAAAACCTTCTGAGAACGTTTTTAAAAAAGTTAGGAGAACATTCCCTTAATGTCAAACAGAACTTATGTACACACACACACATCTACACACACACACACACACACACACACATCTACACACACACACACACACACACACACACACACACACACACACACACACACACACACACACACACACACACACACACACACACACACACACACACAAGTCAGACATGCATGAGTGTTTGTGAGTGTGTGTTCACTTCCTGAATGTGTGTGTGTGTGTGTGTATGTGTGTGTGTGTGTGTGTACGTGTGTGTGTGTGTGTACGTGTGTGTGTAGGCTGTGGTGGTCTATGGGACAACATCTCATGTTGGGCCCCAGCAGCAGTAGGGGAGGAGGTGACTCTCTCCTGCCCCCCTGCTCTCACACACCTCTTCGGACGACACGGTAAGCACACATCCATCCCTCCATACCTCCATAATTCCATCAACCATACTGTACATCCTCCTTATATTCATGTTTGTTCTCTCTGTTAGGTGCCTTCAGTAGGAACTGTACAGAGGCTGGCTGGTCTGACGTCTACCCAAGCATCAGCACCGTCTGCTGGTCCAGCGACACCAAACCTAACAAGGTAGGGTATACCACGGCAACTCCACAGTTAGTAACCCAACATGGCGTAGAAACTGTGACCGTTAAACTAGAATGGACTCCATTTACTACTAAATCACTATTGAGTCAGGCACTGCACTGATCTGGAACAGGTTATTCAATCAGTTGTGCCTCAGATGGAATCTTCTCTTTTGTCTGCTTGGTAATATTGGGTTAGTGGGTCAGAGAGCCAAAGATCTCACCAAACATGTTTCTCATCCCCTACCTCTGATTGTGCATGTGTGTGTGCTCCCTGTGTGCCAAAGTAGAGAGTCATACGGCTTACATGGCCTGACCAGGTGGTTGATCTCTGTGGTATGACAGCCTCTATGGTTGAGTGAGTTCGGACCCTCTCAGGTGTACCGTTGAGATTCCACAGTCAGAGGAGAGGATTCTGTGTGGAGGAGTAAGTAATTAAGGGGTTCCAGTCCTTCCGTCTCTGTAGAGAAGAGTCTGGACTGTCTCTCTCCCAGAGGGGGTTCAGGGGTCAAGGTCAGCGGTCAGATGTGAATGTTTAAAGTTAGTGCTCACTGTTTGGGATAAAAGACATAGCACATAGTTAGGGTTAGAACAGTTTATTGTTGGATGTGTGTGTGTGTGTGTGTGTGTGTGTGTGTGTGTGTTTGTTTGTGTGTGTGTGTGTGAGATTGCATGTGTGTGTGTGTGTGTCAGATGGTGTCTCAGGCTAGGGGAATGTTGTTTATAAGAATGAGAGGGTGATGGGGCGGAGCTGATGAAGAGCAGACAGACTGATATGCACACACACACACACACACACACACACACACAGACACACAGACACACACAAACAATAGCTGCAGTTATTTCCCAACCTCTTGGTATGACATCTATGAGAAGGTAGGAGGAATTAATGCAGGGTTGAAGCTAAACATTGCGGTTGCAACTATGTATCTGTTGCGTTCCAAACTGGTTGTGAAAGAAGCACTTGAAGAGACAGACTATTTTGACAACAGCAAAGCTTTTTATTGGGCAGCCAGAATGTACGCATATGTGTGTGTCCTTGCAGTAGCTGGTGCGTTGCAACATGTGTGTGTACATGACAGAGTGCATGTGTGTGTGTGTGTGTGTGTGTGTGTGTGTGTGTGTGTGTGTGTGTGTGTGTGTGTGTGTGTGTGTGTGTGTGTGTGTGTGTGTGTGTGTTTGACTCCTCCAGCTGCTGTTCTACACAGTGGTGAAGACTCTGTACACTCTGGGCCACAGTCTCTCCATTATCGCTCTCATGACGTCTACATTCACCCTCTGTCTGTTCAGGTAACACACACTCACTCTCTCACACACACACACACACACTGTCTCATGCCACATACACACCACACCTCACAACACACACACACCTGTCTCATGCACATACACACACACACACTCTCACACACACACACTCTCTCACGCACACACACACACACACACACACTCACTCTCTCTCACACACACACACACACACACACCACCACACACTCACTCTCTCACACACACACACACACACTGTCTCATGCACATACACACACACACACACTCCTCACACACACCTCTCCAACGCACACACACACACCACCTCACTCTCTCCACACACCACACACACACACCACCAAACACTCTCTCACACACACACAGACCTATCTCTCACACACACACTCTCTCAAAATACACACACCTCACACACCACCTCTCTCAACTCTCTCTCTCACACCACACCCACACACACCACACACATCTCCTCACACACACACAAACTCTCACACACACACACACTCACACACACTCACACACACACACACACAGACTCTCTCTCTCACACACACACACTCTCACACACACACATTCTCTCTCTCACACACACACACTCTCTCATACACATACACACACACTCTCACACACACACACTCTCCCACACTCACACACACACACTCTCTCTCACACACACACACACTCACACACACACACTCAAATACACACACACACACTCTCACACACTCTCACACACACACACACAAACTCACACACTCACACACACACACACACTCACCACACACAACACTCTCTCACTCACTCACACACACACACACACACACACATGCATGCTTTGTGAAAGGAGTAGTGTTTTGGCAGTGTGAGAGATGTGCTGTTTTTAATACGTGGGGTTATCAAGGAGCTTTCGGATGTTTAGAATTCCCATAATTCACAAAGTGACACTGTTTATAAACACTCTTATCCTGACCTCATGTCTCTTTTCACGCTGTTTACATGTGTGTGTGTGTGTGTGCGTGTGCGTGTGCGTGTGCGTGTGCGTGTGCGTGTGCGTGTGTGTGTGTGTTTGTGTGTGTGTGTGTAGGAGGCTCCACTGCACTAGGAACTACATCCATGTGAACCTGTTTGTGTCGTTCATCTTGCGAGCGGTGGCCGTGCTGGTTAAAGACTCTGTCATCTTCTCCCATAACCAAAACACTGACTGTAGCACACAGCCCTCACTGGTGAGACTGAATGCAAACGTCTGTCTCCAAGGACTGTAAACGTGTAAAAGTGTTAATACAGTATAGTAAAATGTGTTATTTGTAGTTGGGCTGTGAAGTTAGTCTGATGTTGTTTAACTCACATGGCTAACTCGGTGTGTGCATTTGTTTTGATTTGTATGTGTGTGTGTGTGCGAGTGTATGCGTGCGTGCGTTTATGCGTGTGTGTGTGTGTGTACGTGCGTATGTTTGTGTGTGTGTGGTTTGTGTGTGTGTGTGTGTGTGTGTATGTTAGGTTGGCTGTAAAGTCAGTTTGGTGATGTTGAACTATTTCATCATGGCTAACTTCTTCTGGCTGCTGGTGGAGGGCCTCTACCTCCACACACTACTCCTTGTAACCTATTCATACACACACCTCGCTGTCTACCTCACCATCGGCTGGGGTAAGAACACACACACACACACACACACTCTCTGTAACCATGGCGGTGACACAGAGGGTATTGTTCCCAGTATAATAAATGAAGTATGCTCACAGTATAAACAGTGTTGTAATATTCCCTCTCTCTCACTACTCTCCGTTTGTCCAATGTCTCTTCCTTGACTAGTTGTTATTAATACATCCTTCAGCCCCTGACAGAAGTCATCCATTGTCTTAATGTTCCCTGTGTTTAGCAGGTTATGGTTGAGTATTATGGACTGTGTCTATGGTGTTTAGTTTATACGCTTCTGTTTAGTGGCTGTTTAAATGATGGGTCTCAATGAAGTCTGGTTTCCTCCCTGTCGCCTTAAAATGTCCTCTGTCTCGCTCTCTCTCTCTCTCTCTCTCCTCCTCTCTCTTCTAATCAACAGCCCTCTCTCTAGATGAGAGAGAGGAGAGGAAGAGAAAAATCTCTCTGTCATCTCTCTCTTCATCTATTTCGTATCATATCTCTCATCTCTCTCTCTCTCTTCATCTCTCATCGTATTCTCATCTCTCTCATCTCTTTCTTCTCTCTCTCTCATCTTTCCTATCTCTCTCTCTCTCTCTCTCTCTTCTCTCTCTCTCTCTCTCTCTCTCTCTCTCTCTCTCTCTCTCTCTCTCTCTGTGTGTCTCTCTCTCTGTGTCTCTCTCAGGGTTACCCTTAGTATTTCTGGTATTCTGGGTCTTCTGTAGGATCTATCTGGAAGACACCGGGTGAGTCTTCTCTGACATCATCAACAGGCGACTGAACATCTCACTGTCTCACTAGCTCATCAACACACTACTAATCAATGTGTGTATGTGTGTGTGTGGGTGTGTGTAGCTGCTGGGAGAGGAATGACATTCCTACCCCTAGGAGGGTGATCAACTGGCCCATAATGGCGTCTGTCATAGTGAGTATCAGTAGAGCAGTAATGGCGTCCCAGTTAGGGCTGTTGTGGTGACCGTATTACTGCCACACTGGTGGTCACGAGTCATGAAGGCAGTCAAATTCCACAAGACCGTTTAGTCACGGTAGTTAGGCTTCTCCAAGCTCTGATGCTGCTGATGGTCATTAGTAGCCTACCAAACTTGCTAACTGCCTGGTACTCAGCACTCTATTGTCCCTCTAATCACTCTGATATCAATGCAAATGTATTCGAAAATCTAAGTGTCCTCCATTCGCTATTTACAGTTGAAGTCGGAAGTTTACATACACCTTAGCCAAATACATTTAAACTCAGTTTTTCACAATTCCTGACATTTAATCCTAGTAAAAATACCCTGTCTTAGGTCAGTTAGGATCACCACTTTATTTTAAGGATGTGAAATGTCAGAATAATAGTAGAGATAATTTTTTATTTCAGCTTTTATTTCTTTCATCACATTCCCAGTGGGTCAGAAGTTTACATACACTCAATTAGTATTTGGTAGCATTGCCTTTAAATTGTTTAACTTGGGTCAAATGTTTCAGGTAGCCTTCCACAAGCTTCCCACAATAAATTGGGTGAATTTTGGCCCATTCCTCCTGACAGAGCTGGTGTAACTGAGTCAGGTTTGTAGGCCTCCTTACTCGCACACGCTTTTTCAGTTCTGCCCACACATTTTCTATAGGCTTGAGGTCATGGCTTTGTGATGGCCACTCCAATACCTTGACTTTGTTGTCCTTAAGCCATTTTGCCACAACTTTGGAAGTATGCTTGGGGTCATTGTCCATTTGGAAGACCCATTTGCGACCAAGCTTTAACTTCCTGACTGATGTCTTGAGATGTTGCTTCAATATATCCACATCATTTTCCTTCCTCATGATGCCATCTATTTTGTGAAGTGCACCAGTCCCTCCTGCAGCAAAGCACCCCCACAGCATGATGCTGCCACCCCCGTGCTTCACGGTTGGGATGCTGCTACCCCCTTTTTCCTCCAAACATAACGATGGTCTTAATGGCCGAACAGTTCTATTTTTGTTTCATCAGACCAGAGGACATTTCTCCAAAAAGTACGATCTTTGTCCCCATGTGCAGTTGCAAACCGTAGTCTGGCTTTTCTATGGTGGTTTTGGAGCAGTGGCTTCTT